AGCTGAACGTGAAGTTAGCTGTATGTGGAGAGCCGAAGTGGTGTAGTTGGATGTAGTTGGATCTTTGGTTCAGTGGATGCCTCAGGGATGGGTAGGTAGCTCGCTGGTTGTCTTGTTTGGTCGGTTGTACACTAAAAAAAGGAATACATGCGACGACTAATTTAGATACATAGTTATTTAAAGGGTATTTAAAGGATAATTCATACTATTAACCTTACCTCGGTGTACGATACAAAATTAAATACCTGTGACTACTTATTTAATAAGATTTGATTTTAATGGGGTTAGCGCCCTTAAAACAAAAAGTAATATTAACCTTACCTTTAATAGAATAAACACCCACAGGGTGCGGTCCGTGGTTGTTTAGGTAGATGTGGTGATTGGTAAAGCTGGCGTGGGTTGTCTCGGGGGTCAACGGCGGTCGCAGGCAGGATAAGTCGCGGTGAAGCTTGCTGTGAAGTCCTAAGTTGAATTGGTTTACAACAAAAAATTTTCGCGTTCATTTATACGGTTAGACGGTCTAATTACACCACCAGCTGTCGCACAACAGCTGTTGCATAATGACCTACGTACTTCGCGGAAAGTCACTTAATGTACGTCGTAAATTACCATGACCCGTCAACCGAGCGGGGAAAAAAAGCCATTAATCATCAAGACCTATCAAAGCGAGCGGGGAAAAATCACTGAAGCATAACGAAAAATGTAATTAGGTGGAACATCATGCTGTGATGGCCCGTGGGTGCGATCAATACATTCCCATTAAAAACACGCAGCGCGTGTCAACAACGGATCCCGGATCGATAAGTAACACAGCTGTCGCCTGATCGTTATCTTTAATGAATGTTCTATTTTTGTAACGTTCATTGTGTTGGAGAATTTAACCTGTTATTTGTACACGTTAGTGTTAGTCTTTTATTTAAAACATACATACATTCAAACAAACCAACAAATTAAACATCAAAGAAAAATAATTAAAAAGTAAACTAATAATCAAATTACGTAACTCGTTAATAAAATTAAAATAATTAAAATTTAAAAAATTAAAATCCAATTATGTAACTACTCAATAAAAATAATTAAAAAGTAAACAAATAATCACATTACGTAACTCGTTAATAAAAATTACACAATATAAACAAAGTAATTAAATTAAACAACAACAAAGAAAAGAAATATATCAAATAAATAAATTAAACAAAGTAATCAAAATCAAATTAATTAAATTAAATTCAAACTAATTATAAAATAAAATTAAAAATAAACAAAATAAAAATAATTAAAAAGTAAACAAATAATCAAATTATGTAACTCGTTAATAAAAATTACACAATATAAACAAAGTAATTAAATTAAACAACAAGTAAACAAACAAATTAAACCATTATGTAATAAAAACACATTAAAATTACGTAACTAGGTCAAAAATTAATTAAAATTTTAAAAATTCATTAAAACTCATTAAAAAACACATTAAAATTACGTAACTAGGTCAAAATTACACAATATAAACAAAGTAATTAAATTCAAACTAATTAAAAAACTCATTAAAATTACGTCACAAGGTCAATGATGACGTCACAAGGTCAATGATTACGTCACAAGGTCACCAAAAGGTGACTCACCCTTCACTGCTCCGCCAACCCCAGTTGGCGCAGTATTTTACTATATGTCGTTGTACCAGGCTGCGCATCCTGCTCCACCACCCTCCACCAGGTGGTGGAGTATTTTACTATATCTCATTGTACCAGGCTGCGGCAGGCTGCGCATCCTGCTCCGAGTATTTTACTATATAACCATTGTACCAGCCCACCACCTGCTCCGCCAAGAATTCGCTCCAAAAGGGACCTAATATACTACTTTCTACCCAATGGAATACAATGCAAACAATAGCATGAGTCAAGTGATAATTTTAAAAGTTTCTGTTATGTAGCTCTTTAGGAAAGTGTATAGTAGCTGTAATTTCGATTACATTGAGCTAGGAACTAATTTAAAGTGGGTTTCAATCTGACATGCATGTGTATATATATAAAATATTTAAGAAGTTATTGCCTACATGTGTGAAAGAATATGCCATATCACGATATTTCATAAGGTTAAATGATTGTACTCACCCGTGACAGTGTGATGGCCTAAATAAAACAAATCTTAAATTGTCATAACTATTATATTCAATCATGGACGTATGTACATATGTGTCCCTACATTTAAAACATTTATTTTCAGTGTTGGTTTTACGCATTTACATGCATATTATTATATTAATACTTTTTGTACATAAAAATGAAGATATGCAAAAAAAGTTGTATATATATATATATATATATATATATATATATATATATATATATATATATATATATATATATAAACTTATGAATTTGCATATATTTATTATAAAATATATCGTATCTTAAAATATTAAAAACCACACAATACGCGTTTGGTGTTTATTTACTTACCACTACACACCATACAAGCCTGTAGAACGACATCATCAACATATTGTGTTAACGACACATCTTTATCGAACAGGACACACAACACCTGACTTAGATAATAGCCAAACTACAATGTGCAGCAACTTCAATTAACGAGGCGTGTTTGAATTTCAGAGTGTCTTACTTTTTTTTTAATCAATGTTACATATTTTCAGGTCAACCTTAGTTTTAAAACGTTATTTTTTTTTTATTTTTGCAGTATTTACTTTTACTTTCTTACAGTAAATTTTAATTTAATTCTTAATAGACTTTATATTACTCAGTATGTAATTACTTTTGAACTCCGGAGAAGTAACTTATATATGGTGTTGATTACAATTATCATTTAATAATAAACTATGCTGCGGAGACAATATTTGTACATCCCCAATCAATGGAACATTTGATATCATGATTTAAAATCCGTATTGATGATTAAACTTACCCAATAACTTGCAGAGTTTCTTCCAGGCATCTCTTCGTGGGCTCTGCCCCCCCCCCCCCCACCCCCGAACGAAATGGAATTTATATAGAAAATATATATTTTTACCAGTGTCCGCCTCCCCCGGAAAATGTTGATCGCCCCCCCCCCCCCCCGAAAATTTCAAGTGCCTCCCCCGTCCTGAGAAAAGTCTTGAAGAAACACTGATATCTTGTTAAATACTTCACAAGTAGTATAAAACAGTAAGGCACTACAGTAACACATGTAATTAAATTTCAATAAATGTTTTTAAAAAATAATGACAATTCAAAAAAAGTATACACACAAATATTTGTTTTAAAATATGTATATCTATCAGAACCTTTATCCTTCGATTTCTGTTATCAGTATGAGGCTCGTTAGCTGGGGACAGCCACTCTTCTAGGACAGACAACTCCACAATCAAACAACTGCTGCCTTGTAGTTTGTTCTTGGCAGGCTGAAATAGGAGACAATGGCCTCAATGGCGCATAAACCAGTTGACACGTACCCTTAATTGTGTTGGTGGGGGATCCAACACTAAAATTAAGAACGAAGAAGTTATCAGTATTATCCCACATCCCATAATCTTGAATCCCTCATTGTTAGGGAAGCCTTGAAACAACGAACTGGTACCTACGTTCATTGATACAAAGTGTCATTGAATAACGAAATCAAACATCCCAACCACTCCTGCTAGCACCTGTTCGGTACCTTCTACCTAGGACGTTAATGATGAATCCTGAACATGAGATGTTGACGTCAAATAGCAACACTATCGATATCAGGGTTGAAATGTATCCGTTTTACATCCAAGGGTCGACCTAAATGTTATTGGTATCAGGCTACGGTCTAAGGAATTAGAAACTATGGGATGTAGTTTTGCGCTGATTGCAAATTCACGTATTGAAGAAATGCCATAAAAACAAATAGACGTATTTTGTTAGTGCTACGTCGTGTTGTGGGGGAGGTAACGTTGTGTGTTTGGTATAGAGTTGTAATTTTGGTGTCGAGTTTGGTTGATATGTAGCGTTTTATGGCTAATTTAGCGTTGTGTAGGGGATGTAGCATTGTATGGCTAATTTAGCGTTGTGTAGGTGTGTAGCATTGTATGGCTAATTTAGCGTTGAGTAGGGGTGTAGCTTTGTGTGGCTTATTTAGCGTTGTGTAGGGGGTGCAGCGTTGTATAGATAATTTAGCGTTGTGTAGGGGGTGTAGCGTTGTATTGCTAATTTAGCGTTGTGTAGGGGGTGTAGCGTTGTATGGCTAACTTAGCGTTATGTAGGGGGTGTAGCGTTACATGGCTAATTTAGCGTTGTGTAGGGGGTGTAGAGTTGTATGGCTAATTTAGCGTTGTGTAGGGGGTGTAGCGTTGTATGGCTAATTTAGCGTTGTGTAGGGGGTGTACCGTTGTATGGCTAATTTAGCGTTATGTAGGGGGTGTAGCGTTACATGGCTAATTTAACGTTGTGTAGGGGGTGTAGAGTTGTATGGCTAATTTAGCGTTGTGTAAGGGGTGTAGCGTTGTATGGCTAATTTAGCGTTGTGTAGGGGGTGTACCGTTGTATGGCTAATTTAGCGTTATGTAGGGGGTGTAGCGTTACATGGCTAATTTAACGTTGTGTAGGGGGTGTAGAGTTGTATGGCTAATTTAGCGTTGTGTAAGGGGTGTAGCGTTGTATGGCTAATTTAGCGTTGTGTAGGAGGTGTAACGTTATATGGCTAATTAGCGTTGTGTAGGGGGTTGTAGCGTTGTCTAGCTAATTTAGCGTTGTGTAGGAGGTGTAGCGTTGTATGGCAGATTTACCGTTGAGTGGCGGGTATGTGTAATGTGCACCATGCAGTTTCCCAATGCTATCAGTGGGATGGACATCCCGTGGGACAATCATCTGCCTGTTAGGTTAAGCCCATCCAATACTAATACAACATCTACCTTTTGACTTACATTATCATCGCATGCTTTTTTCTCCCTATTAAACTTATCCAGTAGCGTGTACATCATTTGTCATACTAACACATAGTGATAGCGTTTATATACGCTTGACGAGAAAAACGCATTCATGTCGGATTTCAAAACCAGTTTATTTTCGTAACATTTCAGATATTGCGTTTTTAAATGCACATTAACATTAGACATAATTTATATGTTAATCAATCATTGATTTAAATAATACTACCATGGCTAACACTATTGAAGATAAAACTAACAATTTAAAAAAAACATTATTGAAGTTCTATAGAAGCTATAAACCAGTTTGGTTAATCTCGTAAATGCGATCGTTCACTCCAGGTTGTTGAATGTTTTCACCTGGGATTGATGCACATGTATTTCTCAACTGGGCAAGGTAATGAACGGACACACACGTATCCTATGTTTACACACTCTTGACCATCAGGACACACCCCACACTTTGGGTGATACTGTAACATAAAGAGGCAAAAAATCATGTACTTATTTATAATTTATATAATTATAATTAAATAGTTGCCGTAGAAGCTATAATTGTTTTGTCATCGTGTATCAGTGCATTGAAACCTGTTACATTATCAGGGATGTTATTTCATTATATGGCAATGCGTATTAGGAAAGGGTGGGGGAAAGCGAGGATAAAAAAAAAACAGTAGGCTACATGGTGCAAGATCAAAAAGCCAAAAAGGAATTTGATATAATATGGACAACAAGTTATTTTACACATAAAATATTATATATCATGATTTATCAAAACAAATCGGCCAACCTGAGTGCTTTGTATATAACAAATTAATTATTTAAATACATTTACAATTTAAATGAAATAATTTATGTTTGAAAATATTTTTTAAACTTTTTAAACAATGCGGAATATCTTATTTTATTGTATTATAACATTTGATTGATCAGATACATAGCTAAATCATAGCATGTATTTTAAAATATGTTAATTGATATTCAATATTATATCAATAAACTTTAAAAATTATAATTTTCTATATGTTCAAAATATAGTCAGAATTCATTCTGAATTGGTAACCACATGAAACAAATATGGACGTACATTAACAGGATTCGTACACAGCTGTCCACCACAAGCACTAGCACAGCAGATCTGAACATCTGGACATTCGCTGTCATCTGAGCAGAAGATTCCCCCACACACCCCCACACTGTCATCATTGATCACCTGCAATATGTACCACACTACGTTTGAATTACAGTATGTAAGGTATGATATCATTACCTATTGACATGTTGATATATATATATATATATATATATATATATATATATATATATATATATATATATATATATATATATATATATATATATATATATATATATATACATATATATATATGTACTTTTTTACGCTTTCTTGCAATGGTTTCAGGTCCTATAAGGAAGGTGTGAAAGATACATTTACTTTTTGTGATGAAATTTTATGATGACGAATTTAACGGTATGTATAATCAAACAGTAATCGTTATTTTTCACATTGTTCGCGGTGTATGCTCTTAAAATTACGTACCGGACATCTTCCATTTAACTTCACCTCCGTTTCACAATTTTTCCCTGTGTAAGCCGGTGGGCACACACAGGAGGGGGCATCAGCTGGGGCGGTACATTGGCCTCCATTGTAGCATCGGAAGGTGGCACAGGGGTCGCGGCTGTCTGGAACGAAATTGTTAAATTCTATGTGGAGATGTTGATAAATTACATGGTCACATTAGTGGTGTTCAGTGGCGTAGCCAGGATCGTCTCAAGGGGGGGGGGGGGGTTCCAATTTTTACCCGGGGACAAACTTTCTATTTGCACCCCCCTCATACTTTTATTTGCACCCCCCCCCCCCCCTCAAACTTTCGATTTGCACTCCCCTCATACATTATATATATACCGAGGGGTCTAACCCCCCCCCCCCTGCCTATGCCACTGGTGGTGTTTATGTATTTTTATGTTATATCACAATGTCAAAATTTATATATATATATATATATATATATATATATATATATATATATATATATATATATATATATATATATATACATCTAGATAAATAGATGCATAAACTCTCTCTCTCTCTCTCCGTATATATATATATATATATATATATATATATATATATATATATAGGCCTATATATATATACATATATCAAGATAGTAATACATATTAAAGCTCTCTTAAAAATAGTATTCAAGTCGAATAATAATTATATCAAATCAACAAGCTAATATAACATCTAAAATATATTACTAATCTTTAACCCCCCCCCCCCCCTGACCTGCTTATAACCAACAACGCCACCCACATCACAAACATATATACACTACCACCCCTTACACGCACACATGATCTATTCTTACATTGACAGATGTGCCCGTAGAATCCAGGCGGGCAGATGCATCTGACACTGTTGAGTCTACAGTTACCTCCGTTCTGACACGGACTATATGGACATAACAAGATTCCTGTGGCTCGGAAATATAATCAGCATTTTAAAAATATAAAAACATATTAGCTCTTACAAGCAAGAGGCGGGGATTTTGAATGCAAGAAAAGAAAAATTAATAATCATGCTCAATTTTCAACAATAAAGATTTTTAAGAAAATACTTGAAGGCGTCAAACGTTCAAAATTAAGCATTCATATTTTGTCCAAAATACATCTTTGTGTCGGGTAAATGGAGCACACATTATATATATATATATGTTACGGTCAAAGCCCGAAGTGCGGCCAATGCTAGGATTGGCCGGCCAATCCGCGCATTGGCCGGCTCTCTTGGCCAAAGCCCGAAGAACTTAGCACTAAGATCTTATTTCGTACATTGGCCGGCCAATGCGCGCACTGGCCGGGACGTACTGGCCAAAGTCCGAAGCGCTTAAACTTGACAGCGTATTTTGTACATTGGCCGGCCAATGCGCGCACTGGCCGGTATGTCCTGGCCAATGTTCTATCTAAACTAAGTTGTGATCGCATTTTCATTATTCTGGGTGCGTTTTCATTGAGAGTAACGTATTGTTTAGCTCTTGTTTATATAGCATTCTATATGCAAGGCGACATGGATCAAAAGGGCCGTCAGACCATGAGACAGACATAGCAGATGGCTGTCAAAAGAAAAGAATGTAAATCCATGTTAGTTTCCATATATGGGCTCTCGATAAAATAGTTACTGAGGAAGATCTTGAGAACATTGAACAAGAAATGGAGGTTGCGATAAATGCAACGACATCCTCAGCTAACACTTCTACTGCCGTGGCGGAACGTCCAGACCAGTTGCGTGACAATTATGTGGCCAACAGATTCTGTATAGTTTGTGAAATACATTGTAGTGCAGCTCATTCTTTTGGATCCTGTGGCAACGATGTCCATGCTATTTGTGGAATACCCAATGAAGCAGACGAAGGGTACGGAGGGAACATTACCTGCAGATTGTGTCACAACAAACAAGACATCATAGAACACAGGTCAGCAGCTCATACTGGCTTGCAAACTCAAGGTGCTAAGATGCTTAAAACATCAAATACAAAATTTAAAGATGGTGAAGTGGGTGACAATGTACGCATCCGTTTTCCAGATGTTGACAGAGGTCACGGAGATCCCCGAAGCGTGATTGCAGTTGTCATGAGCGTCGAGGGCGGTTTCTACAAATTAGAAACGGCACATCTATCTATATACTACTAAAAGTCAAGTTTGTTTACATGTTTGAATATTTATTTTTTTGTTTGTTTGTTTGCCTGATCGACTATCTCGCATGGTTGCACTCATCGTGGAAAGCTGTAAAATAGTATGTAGGTAGAGAATAATTTTTTAATGCAGACAGACTGTTAATCACAAATGTATTTAAAGACGTTAATTAATTTATTGATTTATTCATAGTTAAATTAACCGTATTTTTTAAAAAATGTTAATACTTTGAATAAACTTTGTGGGGATAGTGACGTCCCTTGATGTGTTTACTTTTTGGTTCAATAAAAATGGCGGACTCCATCATAGACTTTGTGGCCCATTCAAAAGTTTAACGCGTTACAAAGCTAATTTTCTGCCGGCTATAACTTAAACAATACGTCCGTTTGCTGTATTTATTACGTTCCAACACTTATATCAATTTTAAACTGTCTTTTTTCATTTAGTTTTACAATAAATTTCTCTAGATCTAAAGATCAGCTGTCGAAGGAAAGTTATTTTTTATAGATCTAGATCTAGATCTAGAATCTAGGTCAAATCAAATCTAATTTTCTGTCGGTCATAACTTTAACAATACGTCCGTTTGCTGTATTTATTACGTTCCAACACTTATATCAATTTTCAACTGTCTTTTTTCATTTAGTTTTACAATAAATTTCTCTAGATCTACAATCTGTCCAAGAAAGTTATTTATTTATAGATCTAGATCTAGAATCTAGAATCTAAATCTAGGTCAAATCAAAAATTTATTAGTTATAGATCTTAATACAAACCAAAAAAGAAACGAGACTTAAGCAAACCAGTCGTAGATCTAGAATATAGATAATTCTATCTAGATTTAGATAATAATGAGTTTCTATATACTAAAATATTTTAGACCTTTATTATTTTGTATAGGCCTAAATCTTTGTTTCGACTATGCAAATTTTGAAGTGCTGGCTCCAGGGCGTATTTGCGCAGCTTAAGATTCATACGCTGCTTCTATACCGGAATTTTGCTAAATTATAAACGTAAATTCTAAATATAGCTCAGTCGTAGATCTAAAATATAGATAATTCTATCTAGATTTAGATAATAGCGATTTTCTATATACTAAACTATTTTAGACCTTTATTATTTTATATAAATCTTTGTTTGGAATATGGTAATTTTGAAATGCTCGCTCCGGGCCTATCAGCGTAGCTAATGATTAGATCTAGATCTAGATTCTAGATCTAGCAAGAAAAACTAAACTTAAGACCTAAGCAAGCGAGTCGTAGAATCTAGATCTAGATAATTCTATCTAGATCTAGCTAATTTCAGAACTTCTTTATTTTATATAAATCTTTGTTTGGCTAATTTAAGATAAAATTTAATTTGAAAGTTTCATAAGGAGACTCAAAGTATAGTATAAAAATTCACTTGTGACGTGAAGAGTAAATAGCTATGTTGGTAGAGTAGTCGGCTCTCATGCAATTGGCACGGGTTCTAGACCAATGTCAATGATATTTTTGTTTTCAATTTTTTTTTTAGATGTGAATGATAAAGTTGCCTATCTGAACTTGGTAGGATACAGGGCAGGTGAAGTAGAGTTCATCTGTTTCTTTGTCCTAAGCATATGAAAGGATAGTGTGGTCAGAGACATGCTCGGCTGGAATTGTTTTTTAAACGATAAAAACATGTTGTCTGAGACTTGGCGGGACACTGGGCAGGTGAAGTAGAGTTGAGTAGGTCACCTGTGACGTCAGTATATGAAGGGATAGTCCGAAATCGGTGTTTTCGGTGTATTTAAAAGATAAAAAACATATTTTTTAATGTGGGGTATGTTTTTTGTGACGATAAGTGACACTGAAGTAGCGTAGCGAGGAGGGGGGGGGGGCGGGAGGGGGAGGGGAAGCGGGGGGGGGGGGGGGGGGAAGGGGATGTGGAGGGGGGGCGGGGGGGGGACATATGTTGGGGCGTCAAAATGGTTTGGAAAAATAAATTGAAAGGTTGAGGGGGGTGCAAATCGAAAGGTTGAGGGGGTGCAAATCGAAAGTTTGAGTGGGGGGGGGGTGCACATCAAAAGTTTGAGGGGGGGGGTTGCAAATCGAAATCTTGCGGGGGGGGGGGGGGGGGGTTCAAATCGAAAAGTTTGTCCCCGGGCGCTGGGAAGGGTCGCTATGCCTCTGAGTGACAGACGTGATGTTTTTTGATGGATGACCCCGAAACCCACAGTTATCCAAGGGATGACGGGTAGTCTAGTATACTACTAAAAGTCAAGTTTGTTTACATGTTTGAATATTTATTTTTTTGTTTGTTTGTTTGCCTGATCGAATATCTCGCATGGTTGCACTCATCGTGGAAAGCTGTAAAATAGTATGTAGGTAGAGAATAATTTTTTAATGCAGACAGACTGTTAATCACAAATTTATTTAAAGACGTTAATTAATTTATTGATTTATTCATACGCAGAATAACCCATTTTTTTTTTAAATGTTAAAACCTTGACTAAACTTTGTGGGAATAGTGACGTCACAGGTTTTTGTTTACTCTTTAGTACAAGAAAATGGCGGCGTCTATTGAAGAAAATTGTGTTCCCATTCAAAAGTTTAACGCGTTCTAAATCTAATTTTCTGTCGGTCATAACTTTAACAATACGTCCGTTTGCTGTATTTATTACGTCCCAACACTTATATCAATTTTAAACTGTCTTTTTTCATTTAGTTTTTCAATAAATTTCTCTAGATCTAAAGATCAGCTGTCGAAGGAAAGTTATTTATAGATCTAGATCTAGAATCTAGGTCAAATCAAATCTAATTTTCTGTCGGTCATAACTTTAACAATACGTCCGTTTGCTGTATTTATTACGTTCCAACACTTATATCAATTTTCAACTGTCTTTTTCATTTTGTTTTACGATAAATTTCTCTAGATCTACAATCTGTCCAAGAAAGTTATTTATTTATTTATAGATCTAGATCTAGAATCTAGGCCAAATCAAATATTTATTGATTATAAATACAATCAAAAAAAAAAAAAGAGACTTAAGCAAACCAGTCGTAGATCTAGAATATAGATAATTCTATTCTATCTAGATTTAGATAATAGTGATTTTCTATATACTAAACTATTTTAGACCTTTATTATTTTATATAAATCTTTGTTTGGAATATGGTAATTTTGAAATGCTCGCTCCGGGCCCATCAGCGTAGCTAATGATTAGATCTAGATCTAGATTCTAGATCTAGCAAGAAAAACTAAACTTAAGACTTAAGCAAACGAGTCGTAGAATATAGATCTAGATAATTCTATCTAGATCTAGATAATTTCAGACCTTCTTTATTTTATATAAATCTTTGTTTGTATAGCTATGAAATATGCTAATTGGGAAACGTCGCTCCATGGCCTCTATTTGCATAATTTAAGATTTATACGCGGCTTCTATACTGCTAATTTTGCAAAATTATGAACGTAAACTCTAGATATAGCTCAGTCGTAGATCTAGAATATAGATAATTCTATCTAGATTTAGATAATAATAAGTTTCTATGGAATTGGCTAATTTAAGATAAAATTTAATTTGAAAGTTAGTACTACTAGACTTAGATCTAGATCTAGAATCTATGCGCTTAAATCAAGTTGCATAAGTATAGTATAAAAATTCACTTGTGACGTCACGTGTAAATAGCTAAGTTGGTAGCGTAGCCCGCTCTCATGTGGGTGGCACAGGTTCTAGACCAATATGTCAATGATATTTTTTTTTTTTTTTAGATGTGAATGATAAAGTTGCCTATCTGAACTTGGAAGGATACAAGGCAGGTGAAGTAGAGTTCATCTGTTTCTTTGTCCTAAGCATATGAAAGGATAGTGTGGTCAGAGACATGCTCGGCTGGAATCGACACTGGGCAGGTGAAGTAGAGTTGAGTAGGTCACA